TTGTTTTACCTTCTGGCTTGGGAATCCTAATTTTCTTGGTCTTTGTGCATTGCAATCTCAGGGTCTGACTCTCCACTGCCTTGCTCCTTGTGTGATCATTTATACCAGTGCAAAGTAGGAGTAAAATGCTATCAAATCGGAAAGGCAGTTCTTTATATCTACTTTACACAAAGATAAATGATCACCTAAGGAGCAAGGCAGTAGAGAATCAAGCTCTCAAATATAATGTTGTGTTAGTGTCTGTGATATAACAAGCCTGTCCAACTTTAAATGTGCTGAATATATCTGTGTTTATTAGTCTGATTGTTTTCTCTGATCCATTGCCACCCATGAATTATGCTTATACAAAAGTCATATATGGTTCGCTTTTTCAAATTCAAACTTTAGAAACTTGAAGGCATCCTAAAACACAAAAGGACAGGGAATATACATTTTATGTCCTAGGATGCCTGGTGGCTGAGCAGACAAAACCTATAAAGTTTGGAACTTTTTGGTAATCTACAGAAGGGCAGGTGAGAACTGCGAGGTAGACGTAAAGACAAAGCTGTGCAAATTCTAGGCTGGACTCTCGGTGCTGTACAGCTGCTTTACACTCTATTGTTGGCAGAATTTGACTGTGGAGTAAGTATAACTGGCTAAACGAGGACTTCAGTGTAGGGGAAAATGCTTTAGTAGCACAGAGTCAGTGTATCAGCTTCCACAGTACCCTTACTTTTCTGCTGACGTGGCCCTGTACCCTCTAATCTCTGGCTGTGGTTTCAGCTCCTTGGAGCTGTTGGCAGCCAGTGTAATGAAGAGCAGCCTTCAGGGTGCTATATCATATATGGGGGACCAGCCAGGGTACTCAGAAGGCCCAGAATCGGGGAATTGTGTGTGGAAAGTTTTCCCACCACTTTTGCTCTGTGCTCCTTGGCTATAAGTAAGAATCTGGTCCTATGACTCAATTAAGAAAACACCGTATGGAATGTCTTCTCAGCTTATTCCTAATGTGTTTGCTAAGCAATATGTTAGCTTTAGCTTCAGATCCTTTTTGTCTTAAGAAATACCGCTGGCTGTATTGATTAAATAGTCAAATGAAATAACAAAGGAAAAAAAAGTCAAAGCTCATATAAAGCTTCCCCCACAACCCCATCTGTTCTCCTCAAGGAAATTATTACAGTGTGAGCTCAACTCAAAGTGCTGCTAGAAAAAGAAAACAAGCTGGTACAAGCGATTAAGAAAATAACCCTATTTTGATTTTGAGTCAAAAGGAAATAAAAACCCAACACCCCCTCTCCAACCTCTATTTAGGGCACTCACAGATTTTAGAACCAGAGTTGGTTTCCTTGTGTTTTTTTTCTTTTAAACCTCTCTGAGGAAATCTGTCAGAACTTTAGAGGAAAAGCTTTCTGTTCTGTGCCATAATGATCAGTTTGGAATAAGCTGAAGACAGCAGGAGTGAAAACTCTGGGAAAAATTCTGTCCTGAGGGCTGGAGTGTGCTGGGGTCAGTACACGGTCGGCTCTCCGTTTTTTGCTGCCCCAAGCAACAGTGGGAAAAAAAAAAAAAAAACACCCCTGCCAAATATGCTGCCGCCGGAGAGAACAGGAACATTGGAGGGAGCTGCGGCCGAATTGCTGCCGACAGCGAGACCCAAGTCAGAAGAGTCACTGCCGAATTGCCTCCGGGGCTGCTGCCGGAGTGCCGCCCCTTCAGCAGCACTGCCCCAGGCCCCAGCTTGCTTAGCTGGTGCCTAGAGCCAGCCCTGGGTCAGTACACTGCACACAAGTGAGGGTAGCTGTTTCCCCTCTGAAATTCCATAGTGTGTGTGTAAATTTAGAAAGTGAAAGGACATCAGAAGTATCAGAGTAAGGCCCTGATCCTATAAACTGATCTGTCATGTGGACCACTGCCCCGTTGTAGTCAATGACTGAGGTCTGCCCATATCGATTAGTTTGTAGGATTAGAGCTTTAAGAGTCCAATCCTGAAAAATGTTGTGTACCCTTCGATCCCAATGAAGTAATGGAATTGAGGGTACTCAGCACCTCACAGGATTAGGCCCTTGATTTTAATCCCAGAGTAAGGGTGACTATAGTAACCATGTTAATTCCAAGCCAAACAACTCTGCTTTTATATAGCTGTTGCTAGCATGGTTAGAAACAGTGCTGTTTCTGCCATGATCATGTTTTGGCTGAGTTGTTCACACTTACTGACATTCCATAATTTGAACCTGTCCCTCGAGTGAGCACACTTAAAAATTCATTCTGGTGTTACAGCTACTGCAGGTTCTCAGAGTTATTTCCTTTGCTTAAAATAGAGAACATTGCTAGAAACTGGTAATATCTCTAGATCCAGAATGCGTTCAAGTGCATCCCCTATACCTGTGCATGACAGGAAGTGATTTGGATAAAATAAAAATAGATTAAAACTTAAAATGAAGCATTTTGGGTAGTGTGAAAAAATACAGTTAATTTCTTTCTCCACTATTTTGCATTTTCACACACCCCTGTGCTTCCTGGATCTCAGTGCGAACAGAATCAGAAATCCTGAATATCATGAGGAAAGTGGTTCTCACAGTATTTCCAGCTTATCCAGAAGCTGGATGTATCAGAAATCTTTTATGAGAGCCTGTGCCTGAGAGATTTTGAGCTCCATTTTGCAGATTGTGAGAGAGAGGTTAGGTAGTTCACGTCAAAGTTGGATAAATATTCCACTCCAAATGAAATCTTTTTATTGTTCCACTTGCAGTTATCTCTAGCGCATGTGGAGGCCAGATTTTCAAAAGAACTCTGCTCCTATTTAGGCACGTAAATGAAGCAGCCAGATTTTTCAAAACTGCTCAGCATGCAAGACGGTGAATCTTCTGAAAATCTGGATACTTATTTGGTGTATAAATGGGAGCTGAGCTCTTATGAAAATCTGGCCTTTAATATATTGAAAATACAGAGGGAATCCTAACTCAGTTTTTGCTCAGTCATGACTCTTCAGGCCAAACTTCGAGCAAGGCCGGCTTGTCTACACTTAAAATGCTACAGCGGCGCAGGTGCACGGCAGCTGCTGCGCTGCTGTAGCACCTCAGTGAAGACACCACCTATGCTGACGGGAGTGATTCTCCCAAGGTAGCGTAATTAACCCACCTCCCGAAAGGCAGCAGCCAGGTCAACGGGAGAATTCTCCTGTCAACCTAGCACCGTCTACACCAGGGCTTAAGTCTGTTTAACTGCATTGCTCAGGGGTGTGGGTTTTCACATCCATGAGCAACATAGTTATACTGACCTAATTTTCTAGTGTGCACTGAGCCTGAGCGTAAGTGTAACCCTTCTGCCCGTCAGAGTTGGCAGCAACAAGGGCCGGGTTCAGTATCTAGGGGTTCCATTCCAATAAGACAATGCAAAACCGTCTCGAGCCCCCACCCAGTGACCTGGGACAAATATATACCACCCCCCGCTGGGTGCCTCCAAGAGGCAATACTTCCCCTCTCGGAAGCACAGAGTCTGAGTGTAGCAAAAAGCCTTTTAATAACAGAGAGAAACAATGTGGCATTATGTTGGGGAAACACCACCAACAGGATTCATAACATGACCCATGAGCAAAAAACCCACTCCAAGCAAATTGGGGCATGCCCTTTTCCTTTGGTTCTTGAGTCCAGCAACCCCAAATCACCCAAAGTTCCAGAAGTCCAATGACCCAAAAGTCTCTGTCCCTGGTCAGGGCAGCCCCAGAGTTCAAAAGTTTATCTGCAGAGCTTTACCTCCCAACCTGGGTGGAGATTGGGGGGAAGGGGGGGGGGGAAGAGAGAGGTAAAGGGCACCTTACATGATCTGAAGCTGACCGCCCCGCAGCTCCATAGGGCTTCGCGCCGCTCCACCAGCCCCCCCACGAACTGCTTCGCTCAGCTCTGCTCCGGGGCCCACAAGCAGCTCCCGCTGTCCCCATGAACTCCTCCACGAGCCGGTCCACGAACTGCTCCGTGTCCCACAAGCAGCTCCTGCCGTCCCATGAACTGCTCCACAATATATCTTCAGGCTCCCCCACTACTTAACACAACACTCAGTGATTTCAGCTCTTAGTCAGTTCAGCTCTTTTGTGAATTCAGCTTGTAGTAGGGGAGCCTCAGTGCTTGTACACCATTAGCCCAAAGTGAGCTCAGCAGCTTTAACTAAACTCCTAATGGAATCAAAATTAGCTCTGATATTCCACAGTGGAGAGAGGAGAAAGTGCAATTAGCATGTAATCACCAGGGGTCCCATACCACCAAGTATTAATACCTGTTCCCAGCCTTTCTCCATTCACAGAGTTTTGGAACCCATGACCCTTGCCTAGTGAGTGCTACTTAGTTGATGGTGAGTCCCTCCATCATAACAAAAGGCCAAGTACAGTTCCAAGCACAGTTCCCATAATCAGGGTAATAACAATTTATTCTGCCTTTCCCAATAACAGAGACACTGGGATCCCACAGCAGCCAAAGTGACCATTTGGGCAGCTATGGCCTCATTCTCGGCGGGGTGGGTGTGCCTATGCAAATGAGATAGGCCTCTGAAGTTCTTTTCCACAACTTGCCACACCTCACCACCAGGTGTCAGGGTGGAGCTCATCCTGACTCTGCTTACATCAGGACTAAGCCAAAGCTTGGTAAGAATTTCAGAATTTGGGTCCAGTGTCCTCTTTTTGGGAGGAAAATAAGAACATACTACTTGGATAAATGTGTAAGAGAGAGAGAGGTTCCATGTAGAGTTTAGTTGATCAAGAAAACAAATACACATACAATATTTTTTCCTATTACAAGGCACTTTGGAATACTTTTAGTACACAAGGTGCAATGGTATATTAAGCCAAATTGTAATTCTATATTTGTCAGTTTGGTTTTGTTAGCATAATACAATTTGTTTTTATTGTAGCTGTGGAGAGGGAGACATCTTGCTATTAATTTGCTTGCATTATCCTCTGTTTAATGAATGATTCTCCCTTCCAAACATTTTTCTTTTTCATTTTTTTAAAACTTTTTATTTATTTCTTCCAGACTTGGATCAGATACAAAGAAAAACCACTGTTTGTTACACTGTTCATGAACCAGGAACTGGCATGGAAGCAGAAGTTTAATATCCTTTCATTCTTTTAATTCTGTGTATTATTAGAACAGTTGCTAAACACTCTAATGCTTTAAGATCTGACCTTTTCTCCTGGCCATACAGCTAAAACTCTCATGAAGGCCTTCATCATCTGCCATTTTGATTAATGTAACATTCTCCTCATTTGTCTCCCTGGTACCCACGTCACCAACCTCCAGTCCACACAAAACAGTTGTTAAGACTGTTGTCTTTGCCTGTCCATCTGACCAGTGCCCTCTTTGAATCCTTATACTGCCTCCATCTTCTCCACTTCATCCAGCTCAAATTTTCTGTGATCACCTGCATGGTCCTATATAACACTATCCTTCCCTGTTTATCCATAACCGTATCTAATGCAATTACCACTCTGTCCCCTCTGTTCTGCCATTGTTGGCAGTTCCATTACCCCTGCCACAACTATCTTCTCCGCTTTCTCCCATGCAGGTTTCTATGCTGGGAAAACTTTGGTTTGCTCTAAGTTACATTAAAGGCTGTTTTGGCCCCAAACTGGTCCAGAATTAGGGGAGCAGAACAGTGTCTCAGACCTAGAGTTGGCCAGGAACTGGATTTTCTGTTATATGGGAAATGCCACATTCTGAAATGGAAAAAAAATGAAATTTTTTTGAAATGTCCCATGAAATGTTATTCAGAAAAAAATTCCTGGTCGATCCCAATATTGCTTTGATAAAATTAAAACATTTTTGTTCTCATTTTGACCTTTTAAACTTGACAGCTTTACAAAATGTTTTTTATATATTATATATACACACCAAAAATGGTTTTGAACCAAAAAAAAGTCATAAATGTTCTGTTCTGAAACAGGATTTTATTGAAACACTTTGTTTAGATTTTGTAAATGAAACTTCATCTGTATGTTTTCCGAAAATTTTAATTTTGACAAAAATAGCATTTTTTTTGGGGGGAAAAAACCCAACAAAACCTGTTTTTTGTCAAAAAGTTTCTGAACAGCTCTACTGAGAGGCACCTCTCTTCCCACTCTCTTCCTTTCAGCATGACCGGACCACAAACACTTCAGTAGAACTGGAAGTATTTAAAGAGAGAAAATACCTGTCTGTATATCCAGGTTTTTATATTGGTGCCAATCCTTGTAGTCTCAGAACACATCTGAGAATCTGTAGATCTGTCAGACTAGAATATTTCTTAAAGCATCTGCTGTTCATTATTTTCCCTACCAGTTTAAAAAAATAAGGCAATTCCTCCCTCATGTCCCCCAGAAAGAAAGAAAAACCAAACTGCTCTGTTGTACTGGAGTAGTTAGTTACATTTTTTAAGCTATGGTCAGTCATTAAAAAAAGATAGTGTTTATCAAGCTAATTAAAAAGTCTAGCAAAACAATAGACTGCAGCCTTGTACAGGATGTACAATTAACCTTAAATGAGTGAGGAAGAGAAACAGCAAATTAACAAATCAGTGGCCATTATTCAGTTTCTGCTCAGCTTTCCACTCGCTATTAATCTAACGGATTGTTACATGCTTTGGGATGTTTAGCTGACTTGCAGTATCAGCACAAACCAGAATCTCACCGAGGAGATCACACTGTTTTGGAAAACATCTGAAAGAATTTATAGCTTGTGAATTACAAAAGCCGCTCTAATTAGCCCCAAGAGGCAGTTACATAAGAAACACCAAGAACATTGTTTAGTCATAGATGCTTTCTTCTCGCCATTTTTATATGAGATTCTGGTAATGAATGTTGTTTAACAATTAGAGCTGAGAGCCCATGGTTAATAGCACTCCTGAGTAAACATTGTTCTGTATTTGCGACCCTGTAAGTGTTTAAATTTAGCTTAAACCAGAAGATACTACAGTTACTTGGGAAATTTTTTAACCACCAGCCCCTTCGGTTCCGTAAAATTGGTAGTTAACGGTAATCAGACTGGTCCATCATTGCTGTATCTTTGCATCTGTTGTGATAATTCTCTTCTAAAACATATGTGAGGTTTTCAAGATATCTTTTTTTCCACCATCCTGCCCCCACAAACTCTGGATGTAGGACTCCCTCTTGGTTCTCCTATTCTGGGGTCTGATCCTGCACCACTGACCACAATGGGAGCTTTGCCATTGATATCAATCAGAGCAGGATCTGAGACTTTAATGATGACCAGATGCTGCCATGCAGTGTGTGTGGGTGGGAGGAAGGAGAGAGGGGGAGAGGGGAAACAATTTTTCTTTTATAATTCTCGGTCTCAACATCTCCATTTTAATCCCAGATTTTGCTAGATTATATAAAGTGTAAAACGTTTGAAAGGCAATGAACAAACCAAATACAGGGAAACTGAACCTTCAAACTGTATTCATGTGAATAATCTCACTGAAGTAAAGGGATTACTTACTTGCATGAGTAAGGGTCACAGAACCAGGGCCAATTGAATGTGCTGCATTCCTACGATTCCCTCCAATGACTCTGAAATAAAATTAATTGTAGCTTTGGTATACAGACAGATTTCTTGTGTCCATATGGGTGAGAAAATGTGTAGGTGATATCTCAGAATTTGCTGGCCTGGATATGTTTGAAATAATCGGCGTTCATTAGCAACCTTAGAATCATAGAATATTAGGATTGGATGAGACCTCAGGAGGTCATCTAGTCCAATCCCCTGCTCAAAGCAGGACCAACACCAGCTAAATCATCCCAGCCAGGGCTTTGTCAAGCCAGGCCTTAAAAACTTCAAAGGAGGGAGATTCCACCACCTCCCTAGGTAACCCATTCTAGTGCTTCACCAGCCACCTTATTGCCTTCAACAATTATACAAGGTCTATATAGGCAGATTCCATTAAATATGGCTAGTTGTCTTTTAAAGTCCCTGGGCTGGTATGCATAGTGTTGCAATACCACATCTTGGTATGCTCAGCACTGTACAAGGTATTGCAGACATAATTTCCTTATGTCTCTCCCAGTATGTGTAAATGAAGCCCATAATCTTTTTTTTACATTTTTCATTTCTTAAATTAATGTAGCAGTTTCTCACTATCTTAATCATAAAGCCAAAGCTATAAAATGTGGATGTCTAAAGATAGGCACCAAGGCCCAGATCTTAAAATTGTCCTTGATTTCTTGGGAATTAATGCCTAAATGTCTTGGAGGAGCTGCTCCTAAATAAGTGACAGGTTTCAGAGTAGCAGCCGTGTTAGTCTGTATCCGCAAAAAGAAAAGGAGGACTTGTGGCACCTTAGAGACTAACAAATTTATTTGAGCATAAGCTTTCGTGAGCTACAGCTCACTTCATCGGATGCATGTAGCTCACGAAAGCTTATGCTCAAATAAATTTGTTAGTCTCTAAGGTGCCACAAGTCCTCCTTTTTTTTTTTTTTAAATAAGTGACCTGATTTTCAGTGGTGCTGAAGAAACCAAAATGAACATGGAAGTCAATAGGGAGCTGCTAGGCATTTATGAGTTTATTAAGCACCCAAGTATGAAAACTCTGGCCTTAAGTGTTTTTTGATGTCTCTATTTATTTTACTTAGCCAAAAAAAAAAAAAAAGTCCACTAAGACCCTTACAGAAATGAAAAGAACACCTCCATTCCCTGAACATCTAGAAATAAATCTTTGGAATGAATAGGCATCTCTTAATATAATCTGACTTTGTGATTAAAGACTTGTGTTGGTTTTACAACTGACACATAACTTTAGAGACTCAGGGGGAAAGGCAGGAAAGGAAGAGAAAAAAGCGGGGAAATGAGAGACAAGAATTAGGGAGAATGAAATACCATTGATGGATAATAAAATGAGAATAATGTGATTGTTTCTTGTTTAATTTTTGTTTTCTATCATGAAGTAAATAATTAGGAGATGTCTAGAATCAAAGACATTAGTCTTTGTTTTAAGCTCTGCTAACTGCTATCAGTAACTAATCTAACAGCACAATTCCTGACCATCATTGACTGATAACATTTAAAAAGACAAATCAGGTATTCAGAAAAGGTATTTACATAACTGAAATACTCTCCTGCCCATACCTTTATGGATAAACTGGTCTCTGACAAGCACAGAACAGATCTGTCTCAAAGGATGTATTCCTTTTGAGGTGCTAAACACCATCCACTCCCACTGATTTCCTGAGTCAAGAAGTGCTCAGCATCTCACATAAAGGGCACTAAGATGATAAGAAAACAACAGGTAAGCAATGGTACATTCAGCAACTGTCACGCTGCTGCCCCGATAGATCTATTAGAAACAGAACAATTGTCTATGCTGAGGATTTGGTACAATAGAAGTTACAGAGCATTATCACAATAACAGAGGCTTTTACTATAAAAGACAATAAATGACACTGTTTCACATTAATATTTATTTGTCCATAAATGCAGCAGCAAATTTATCTATCAGTGGGAAACCATTATCCTATGACAATATTCTAGTCCTGTGGAATTAATTCTTTACTCTGTTATCTATTGGTATTCATCATACTTTGTATATTATGTAAATTCATTAGAACAAGTTTCTTTAAAACAATGAATACCACAGATCTGAACTAGCTCCCTCTCCTGGACACTCACCAGGCTGTTGTTCAGCCCATGTTAGCAAAAGGTGGATTTCACACACACAGAGAAACATTCCCTGATACAGTAGCTTTATAATAACTTAATAGCATCAATCAGAATTCTCAGCTTATAAAGAAAGATTCCCCCAATCATCACAATGACTAATTCAGAATTATTCAGACCTACTGTCTATGGCTTGCAGGCATCAATAAAGGGGATTTCATGACATCAGTAGATTGGAAGGATGCCTAATTCCCAAATATCCCAATTCGACAGTCTCAAACATCATTCCTACACTTTGCTATTGGAGGACAACATTACCAGTTCAGGCCGTGGCCTTTTGGTGAGTGTTTATGATAGTACCGGTAGAATTAATAGCAACTCATAGACAGGAGGAGGGTTGGTGTTTACACCTTCTTGGAGGAATTCCGTTATCTGAGCCTCATGCAGAATATGAGCTGCCATTTTAGGCTTCAAGTTTCAGTTTCACATGTAATCCTACCCTCCGAGGCCTGGGAGAACTGCAGAAGCAGCTGCTCATCCCCTGGAGGAAATGAGAAGGGAAGGCTGCATAGTGACCAACTCTATCTGACCTCAGGAACAGTAGTTCAAAATAGATTAACTCTGCAGTGCTGTGTCGACTGGCTCAGGAGAGAACCATATCTAGCTTTCTTGACTTGACATATTATGTAGGGTTGACAACTTTCTACTTGCACAAAACTGAACACCCTTGCCCCACCCCTTCTCTGAGGTCCCTCCCCCGCTCACCACATCCCCGCCTCCCTCTGTCGCTCGCTCTCCCAACTCCCGCCCACTCGCTTATTTTCACCAGGCTGGCTCAGGATGATTGGGATTGGGGTGTGTGGGGGGGTGAGGGTTCCGGCAGGAGGTGCGGGCTGTGGAGTGGGGCTGGGGATGAGAGGTTTGGGGTTCAGGAGGCGGTTCTGGTCTGTGGAGTGGAGCCAAGAGGTTTGGAGTATGTGAGGGGGCGCCAGGCTGAGGCAGAGGGTTGGGGTGCAGGAGGGGGTAAGGGTTGTGGGCTGGGGGGTGTTTCTGGGCAGCATTTCTGGGGTGGGACCAGAAATGAGGAGTTCAGGGTGTGGGAGGGGGCTCTGGGTAGGGGGTTGGGATGCGGGGGTAGGGCGGGCTCTGGCTGGGGGCATGGGCTCTGATGTGGGGCCAGGGATGAGGGGTTTGGGGTGCAGGAGGGTGCTCTGGGCTGAGATCGAGGAGTTCAGAGGGGGGGATCAGGATGCA